TGTGAATTCTGTGTACTGCATTGGATAGATGCAGGGTCAGGAAGCATCACTGAAGTACTAATGAAAGTGACTTCCGATGCTATTAATGAAAATATGACTCATGTTCTAAGGATTTGCAGTTGGATTGCTGTAACTTTTGGTATTTCTCTTTCATTGTTTTCAGTAGTTGTTTTCCTAGAACATGCAGTGATCATGAAAGAATTACTATATTAAAAACAATAGCGATGTATTCATTTGATTAAACTCCTGGTATGGATGAATGGTGTTCATTTCAACACAATAGATGCACTTGGAATTTTCTTCTGATCTTTGCTGTTCAGAAATATCTTTAGTGGGGAAAAAAGGCAAATACTCAGATAGTAAACATCTCAGGATGTTTTTGTAGTGAACAGACAGAATTCACTTATCAGTGTGAATCAGTTCTCTGTTTCTGAGCAGCTGGAAATAACATCATGATTACAGGGAGAAAATAGTGAAAAAAATCTATATAGCGTTTTTTCTGTCATTACATTAATATTTCTTTTTGTTGACAATAGAACTGAATAAGATGGTAAATCACATAAAACCCTGAGCTGTATGCCAGAAGGAAATTCCTGAAGCCCTGGTCCTCTTTTTCAGGGCTGTATAGTGGTGTGGGGGTGAACTGTATGCCCCCAGACCACTGCAACAGTAACCATGAGCCACAGGATGGACTTGGGAAACAATGGGCTATTCCCAGTTCCTTTGTGATTCCAGGGAAGTAATTTATTGTAGTCTGCTTACCCATTCTTGGAAAATGACAATAAGTTTTCACAGTCTGATTCAAGTAAAGTCTGTTAGAAGTGTGTGTGGTGGTCGGACTCACCAGTAGTGGCAGCCAAGCAGGAAAGCTGAGAACATTTACTGATTCTTAGATGACTGCTTGGAGCACCCATATTCAATCCAAATGCTACTTGTGTTTGTTTCTGAAACTGTATATAAAAATGTATTTTTGTGTACATAGAAGTGTAAAATGGGCTGGGGAGCAGCAAAACTCACTTTGAGGTTTGTTTTTTTTCTGGTTTGTGATAGAGAGTTGAAGAGCTTGCCGTGCTCTTGTTGGCTTTTTCCTTGGTAGAACTTGTGGGAATGGTGCTTGCCTTCTTGTCTTTGTTAGAAATCTCTGCAGGATGAGAGAACAGAAGCTTGAATTTGTTTTATTACTTCTATTGAAGTATTTTGACATAGTTTGTCTGGTATGCAAAGACAAGAGGAATGGAAAATTGACATTTCATTATAAATCCTTCATAATTTCTTGTTTAAGTTTTGTTGTCCTCTTCAGTGTCATCCTATCTGTTGCTTCTGCAGTTTCTCCAGTAGCCAATTTTTCAGTGGTGTATGACATGTAGGCATTTAGTTGCCATTTATTTATTTCAAAATCTCTCATGAAATTTCATTAAAGGGTCAATTAGAAAAGATCTGAATGTGTGATGAGCTCAATGTGTTGAACAGAGTTTACTATGAAATTACCATATAAAGGTAAATTCGGAGTTTTAAAGGATGGCTTCAGCCATGCAGTAGATGTGCTGTGAAACGTATGCTGCCACTTTGGTGCTAGGTCTTAGTTGTGTTTGTGTGCTGGGACATTTCATGTCTGGGCAGATACACTGCATAGCTTGATCTGTAAATGAATGCCTTCTGCATTTTGCTGATTTGAGGATACACTGCTGGTGCATCTTGGGTCTGTGGCATCTGTAAGGAAAAGGGCACTGCACAGTGAACTGCTCATGGCTCCCTAATATCTGGCGAGCACACACGTCTGCAGGGACTTTGCCCTTCATGTTTCTGACAGGTAGCAAATGAACTGGATGGATCAAATAAAGTAGTTCATCAGCCTCAGTCTTCATAAGCTAAGTTATTTATTTTAATTGCTCTTGTTGTTTAATGAGGATCTTAACATTAAGGTATTTCCTCGGGTCTGTTTGGATCTATTTGAACTGATGACAAGCAAGAGAATCCAGTAGTTCTAGTCTTACCCTACCATCTTGCCTGCCTTGGAGACTAAAAAGAGCCCAGCTGAGAAATAATTTTTGTGTCTTGTTTGCTGCACATTGGAGACATGCAAGAATTGCAGAATGGTTGAGGTTGAGAGGAACCTCTAAAGGTCATCTGGTCCAACTCCTTGCTGAGGTAGGCTCACCTAGAGCCAGCTGCCTGGGACCATATCTAGACAGTTTTCAAATATTTCCAAGCATGGAGAAACAGCTTTGGAACTGTTTCCAGCTAAGCTGCTCCAGAGTGTGTTAGTGGCTGCCCTCAAGCATTGCAGGTGCAGGGATCCCAAGGGACAGGGAGATGGGTTTCAGCTCAGAATGCACCCTGCATACCTGCTGCCTTCCTTGATGACTGAAAACTGACAGACAACGTCATCTATGTGGAACACGTGGAAATCCAAATGAGCAATGGTATTTCACCTTGAAGAGTAAGATTTCTGTTGAAATAGGTCAGCTTTTATAAAGAGGCACTCCAGCACTTTTGTGTGTGTTTTGTAGTAGTACTTTGTAGTACTTCTCTTGGGCAAGGCTTAAGGCATACAAACATACTCACCTGGGCTAGAGGCTGCTTTCAAGACCTGACCTAGAAGTATTCCAGTACTAAAAGTTTTTAAATCTGACTAGTTTCCACTGCCTGGAAGAAAGAAATCCCAGAGCAGGAATGTTCTGAAATCACAAGCAGTAACTAAAGCAGCTCATCTATTCTGTTGTTCTGCAAGATGGTTTCTGTACGTCTGAATGCCCTACCCAATTTTCTTCAGCATTACAGCTTCAACAATGAATGTACAGAGGACACAGAGAGAAATAAAGTAGCTTTTGTTCCATGTCCCCTGTTCTCCAGATGTTCCATGCCATCAGGGAAGGGGCAGGGGTCAGCAGAGTATTGCAGTGGGTACTGCTCCCACAGGGGCCGTGCTTCCCTGAGTTATAATCGAAGCAGGAATGTGCAGTGATCAGCATGAAAACTGTACTTCTTGGATGAGTAACCTTGATTTTTTTATTGGAAAAGTTTCCCACTGAGATCATCTGACGTTAAATTGTGTCAAGTTCACCCGTATTTTTATTGCTTTGCAAGAAAATTGATAGACAATCAGGTAGCTAGCGCTGTGTTGTGTTTTCTCATGCTTGCCCCATCCTCCCCTCTGCTGGTATTCTTATAGGGAAATGCAGTCTTTTTAAATCAGAAAAGCCTTTGGTAGTTACTTTTATTTTCTGTAGTACATGTATGGTTGGATAGCATCTAGCATGATTCTTAACAGCTTCTCTTTTTTTGGGTGTGTTCTCATATTCTTACCTCTGAATCTTGATCCTAGGAGTTTTATAGAAGGATTAAGCGACCTGAAAAGTGAGCAATTAAAGCTGTCTCAGTTGGTGGTGCACAGACACGATACATGTCATTATTTTTTGTCTGAGTCCAAGGCAAACTCAAAATGTTTTGGTTTGTTTTGGTCTTTTTTCTTCCTCTATTAGTTCATGGCTTCAAAGATTTTTTTTTTTTTTTAACATATTGAGGTATTATTAAAGTGGACTTCCTGGAAATTACTTTTCTTTTTAAATAGGGAAACCAGATTTGTGTGGCTGTTTCATAAATTCTGTTCCTTTAAATCAATTTTTCACAAAGGCAAGTTATGAAAGGGCTTATCTTGGTGCAATTTGAGCATTTTGTAAACAACCAGATCTTGGATGGCCTTAGCCCCACTCAGCTATCATATGCAAGCGGTTTTAAAACCTTCCTACTGTCCCTCAGAGCAGATGTGTCCTATTTCACAAGGCTTGTATACTTTTGTCCCATTGTGTCTTGAAAATTATAATTCTGTGACAGTTTTTTCTCCTTTGACTTTCCACAAAGTGAGTCAGATGCAGCTCCCTTACGGCAGTGGGTGCTGTCCTTTGCTGCGCTGTCTCTTGGCCAGTGCCATGTCGTGGAGCAGAGAATGCAGCACAGATGCTTCACGCCTGGCATACTCAGCTGTTCTGAGAATAAAACTGCAGCGTGCAACTGGCAAGTTCTGCTGCAGGCAGCATGTGCTGGCTGTTCATGTGTGACCTTTTTGTACTCAGTAACTTGACTAACTCTGCTCAGAGAGTTTTTTTTAAAAAATCGGATGTGAAATTTAGGCAACTGACTTTCTGACCAGAGTTCAGAGAGGTGGGTGAGCAGCATGGACTGCCAGCCAGGTTCTTAGAGTGCGGGAGCTGCAAGGGGTTGAATTACACTGGCTTAAGAAGTTTCTTTCTCCTCAGCTGAAAGTTTTGCCCCCACTGAGCTGACATGCAGCTCAACGGATCACACATGCTCTGCCAGACCAGTAGAAAAATCAGCTAAGTTGTGGTATTTTAATTACTGCTGCCACACCATAAACTGGGAAACACTGAATGCTGGCCTGAATAGTGCAGCAATCTATAGTTGTCTCAGCATAAAGGAATTACAAATTTTGACTCCTAATGAATAGTAACAGCCTTAAAAGTGAGACACGTGTATCCAGGTCTCTTGGTTTTTCTTACCCAATCACCCCAGCTGGTGACACTGTGAAGCAGTGTTCTTGCAGTAAGTCTGCTTGGCTGAAACATGGCTTCTCTGGGAGTAGTGCTGAAGAATGATCAAAGAAATAAACCATCTGTGAGAAGATATTTTATACAGGACCTTTAATAATTTACAATTACATATGCTGTAATTTTACTTGAAGTTCAAAATCTCTTTTACCCAAAAGACCAATCTACTTCATCTTGCATCTTTTTGCTGCCAATGCTTTGTTGAGAGTTAAAGAACTGGATGAAATCTGGTTGTTGAAAAATGTACTACAAATTCTTACTGTGATTGGATGTTTGCTGAGCTGTACTTCTGAATAGCATCTAAGTGCCTTGTAGTTACTCATCTAGCTTTTTTTGAATGCATCTTTTCAGAAGGCCTTAATAATCTCTTTATTAAAGTTAATATTTAATGCATGGAATCACTGACAAAAATGATTTTTCTTTCTTTGGCTAAAGCTACCCAGAGTGAGGAGCGGCTGTGTGCCTTTAAAGACCCCTATCAGCAGGACCATGGAATCAGTGAGAGCCGAATCTCCCAGGAGAATGGCACAATTTTGTGCATGAAAGGTAGTACCTGCTATGGACTTTGGGAAAAAACAAGAGAAGGAGACATACATCTTGTAAAACAAGGTATGTAACAGTTCAGTTTTAGTGCAGTAGTTTTGTTACTTATTTCCCTTCTTTGTGATCTAGCCAGCTCATCCAAAGCTGCGCAGCTGCAGAACTAGACTTCTTGCACATTGTTGAAATGCATAATTTTAAACTCCCATTTAACTGTTTTAAATGTGAACAGAATTTTTGTTTGAAATTAATAACTTCTAAAAGAGACCAGAGACATCAATGTACAGTTGAAAGAAGAAGCATTCAAATTTCTTCCTCATCCAGAGGAAGATGACTTTCTTGAATTTCAGTATATGAATTGATATAATGATAAATTTAACAGAAAGGGTCTTATTACGTAAAAAGTGTATATTCATATTGATTGGATGTTTGCTTACAAAGGAAATTGCAGCTATATTTCAGATATCAGTGCTGCTCTGTGGGGAGAATGAAGGTAGAAGTGTGGAGGACCTTGCAATTTCTGGAGACATGTTTTGATTATGATTCTCAGGGATTCTTCTCTTTTTTACTTGGATGCAAGTTAATGTAGTATAATGCTGAATGAAAATGCAGCTGGTGTTTACAAATAGCCTGTGGAGCTGTAGTCCATGATTCCTGTTTGATCTGGCAATCTGCTGAAGGGAGCAGCTTGACTCCTCACCTCTGCCCCACTGCTGCCCCTTTCCCTTCCAGGTATTTGTGGATAAATGACATTTAACTGCTGTTGACCATGCTTGGGAATGAACAGTTGCTGCAGGGACAAAGGACCTGGTATGAACCAGGCAATAGGCTGTGGTCCTGTAGAAAAGTCCAGGCAGTGATGCTGACAATGAGGAAGGGCAGAATTTTGAAAACTATGCAAGAAGCACCAAGCTGTAGATGCAGTCTTGTGGCCTAAGGAAGGGATTGGGTCACAACTCATTTAGTCTGTGGACTAGAAAATGGTGATATGGTCTGTGGTATCAGAGAGATGAGGAATAGCATATTTCTGCTTAGAAGGCTCAGAAATTCAGATTTTATCATAGTAAGGCAATAGCTGGACATTGGCCTTCTTCCCTGCCCACATTTTCTTCTCCTTGACCATGGGGAGTTCTAAAAGAAATTCTTCAGGTTTTGGTTTAAAAGATGGTAGTAAAGTCAGACAAGCAGATTATGGTAACTGTTCTCACCCCATTCTGTAATGTTTAATCAGGTAATGTATGGATTTCTGTAGGTGTGTTGATCCAGTCAGTAGAATTAATTTTATTATTACTTGGGGGAAAAAAAGGTCATTTGCTTCTTTTTGCAGGTTGCTGGTCTCATATAGGAGACCCACAGGAGTGTCACTTTGAGGAGTGTATAGTTACAACCACCCCTTCCTTGATTCAGAATGGAACATACCGCTTCTGCTGCTGTAGTACAGACTTGTGTAATGTCAACTTCACAGAAAACTTCCCACCTCCTGACCCCACTGATACAACACCTTACAGTAAGTCAGATCTTTGTGTTTCTGTCTTTGCATGGTATAAAGATTTTAGGGAAAGAGCCTTCTTTTTGTGCTACTGTTAAATGTGAAACCTGTGATCTTTCTGTGTCACAGAGATGGCAAACAGAGCAGATCCTTCCCTTAGGAAGTTTGTCACACTCATATTCCACATTGTTCCACAAATAATGAGCTAAATGCTTACAAGAGGATTGTTTGTATTGGCAAATGCTGAATACAGTTTATATTTTTCAAAATGGTCTGTAATCTTGTGTGTTTTGATATTTGGATGCTCAACCTCATAAGCCTGTGCAGGTATTCAGAAGATTCATGACTTTGTTGAGAAGAGGCCAGTGGTTTCATTAACACTATGGTACCTTTGGAAAGTTTGGCCTGTCTGTTCAGTCATAAATCACAGGTAGTTTTGAGTGGTAGAACTGGTCTTGTATCACAAATTCTCTCTAACAGTCTCTGAAATCTGACTTCTTTCTTTGACATATCTCTGGTAAGGGCTAACTTCCACATAATGTTCAAAGAATATTAGTTTGAGCAATGTAATTTTCTTTTCAGTTATTTATTATCAAATCAGCCCAACATACAGATCCAAATCAAGGGATCAGACCCCTTAACCTGGTAAGACAGAAGCAAGATCATAATTAGCAGGTACACTGTTACACTGTGTTCCAAAAGTTAAGAACATGTAAAGAGGCTGAGTTAGTGGCCTAATCTAAACATTTGGCTAACCTTCTCTAAATAAGAATTGTGAAAAGGAAGTTGAATAAAGTTAGGTATGTAAATGGAGGTACAACTGCTCTGTATGTCAAGAGCTCTTTATCGGTGGAAAGTATTTTGGGAAATGAAGGTGTGTAATTGGATAGCATTTACAGCTGTAGAATGCCAAATGAATAGCTTGTGTTTAGGAATGATAGTGTTTGAATTAGCTTCAGTGTGAAGATGCTGATAGTTATCACGGTGCTTTCTAAAATGGCTGTAGGGTCTGGTATTTGTAAGGACATTGGATCAAAATGAGGGTTTGGTTTGGCATGCTAAAAACCAGTGGTCTTTAACTTGGAAAGTGTGTACAGTATGAATGGGTAAAGAAGTTGCTAAAACATTTGGTTGACAGTACTGTTTGTAGAACCAGTGAACAATCACCATTTGGAATCAGTGTCACTGTGCAGTGCAGAACAGACTCTGCTTGACTTTGGTAAGAGTCATGCCCAAATGTAACTGGAGTTAGTGTTGTGCAGGGAAATTAGACAGGAGGAAGAACACCTGTAATGGTAATTCCTTGTCCCTTTCTGTCTCCCCAAAAGAGGAAGACCAGGTTATTACCAAATGATTTGGGCTTGTTATTCTCAAAGGATAAAAATTACAAGCTGAATTAATTCAGTTGTTGAGTGATAAGATCACCAAATAATTTTAAATGGATTTTTTGATACCAAAAGATCTATCTTGATTTGCAAAGGGGTGGGGAGGATGGGGTGGATTAAATCTGTAACACTGTCCTTAATTCACCCAGCTGTAATTGAATGCTGCAGTGTACATTTCTACTGACTCAAACTGTTTTGTGTTATTGTGTCACCTTCCATTTTCATAATAGGCAAATTTGGCTTTAGGCATAAGCACAAGCAAAGGAGGTTGCTTCAGAGCACAGTGTCTGTCTGCTTTGACTGGGTTAGGAGATGGAGATGGGCCATTCCAGCAGCAAGGATGGCCTCGTTTACCACTCTGGTGTTTTGTTTGTGAAGCTCTACCAATGCTGCATCTGACAGGGATGGGGCTGCTCCTGGCTGTTGACATCCAGCACTCTGGTAGCACCATTCTGGAGGTACAGGATACTTGAGAAAGCTGCAGGGGTGAAAAAGCAGGGAGGCTGCAGCACACAGAACCCTGCAGTGTTACTGACCCACATTCCAAGTGGTGTTGTGTTCATGGTTTCTCAGCTCCTTCCAGAGCCCATTTTGGTGCTGTAAGATTATATTTTGGCACGTGTATTAAGTACAGAATTCTTCCTTTGGCAAGGTTGAGTTTTTACAGAATTGTTGGGAAGCTTTGTATTAGTTACTGGATACCTTTCTTGGGCACTCTTCCAGCCTTTCTGTTATAGTTGACAGAGTGCTGTGAGGACATTAGCAAGGTTAGCTGCACAGGCTGTGCCAATCTGTGTTTCCAGACCTTTTAGATTATTAAATTGATCAGGTCACAGTCACATGGGAAATCTTCTGCAGAAGGTTATTTCACTATAGCCTGTGAATTGTAAGAGCATTATTTTTCATCTGTATTTTTGATAAATAAAGTTCTTGAATGGCCCAAAGTAAGGTAGCAGACCCCCTGGAACTGTACTTACAATCCTGGAAATGTTGAAGTGGAGGTGATTGGTGTACAATTATGTGAAGCCTGATTAATTCTGCCAACAGTTAACTAAGTATTTGTAAATGGTTTTTTTCTCATTTCCAGTGAAATCATACAGAATAAAAAGTTCCTGGAATGACAAGCAGAAATTCTGCTGTAGCTTAAAAACTAATGGAACCTGAGGACCTTGCTGATGACCCTAATCAATTTAAAGCTTAATTTTTAAGGGAATTTGCAGTTGTTCTTTTCAAGATGTTTCCTTGCAGCTATATGAAGGATCTGTGGAAACAGCAGAATACTGTTAGGCCCTTGAGCTAAATCCACCCAGAAAAAGAATGGAATAAAACAATTACTTTATACAATCTTTTGGTTGCCATTTTTCTATGATACTTAACAGTGGTGTGTTGAAAGATACAGCTAGACCATAAATGATTCAAGAAGGACAAAATTAAGATCTTAATACATGTTAGGTATATCAAATTATCATTGTTGTGACATCTAGCAATTAGAAAAATTAAGTGTAACATGTAAGATAATGTCAATGTTGTTTTTAGGATGTCAAAACATTTATCTCACAACTGTATCTGTGTAGAACAGAACAGTTTGTTGTTGTTTTTTTTTAATTTATGTTTGATTAGAGTATAAATACATGTAATCCAACCTGTTCTGTAACAAAATTTTTATACAAATGAAAAATAAGATTGAGGACAAACAGGTTCTAGAAGCCTGAAATTTAATCCTTACTGCTTCCTAATGCACAGCTGGTAATTTAAAACAATCATACATTGAGTAGTCATAATATTCATCTCTTCTATCTTAAAGATAATCCAGGCAGATTTGAGTAGCTGTTGGTTGCTAATCCCTCCAGCTAGAATTTTGCAAATATTGTAGGATGGGTGATAGTCTAGAAGCCACAGTCTGGAGTTATTAAAAAGGCAGAGATTAAGATAGCTGTTTCCTGATGCCAGGAGAAGTAGTGGTTGGGGAATGGTGTCTGTTTCTCATTTCAAGATTTGCCTGTGGAGTTTGGAGCTGCTCAAATGCAGACGTTCAGAAACAACCACTCATCCTCTGTCTTTAACTTGCACTTTTGCAAGACAAGGGAAAGATGTGCTTTCTTCTTCTGTGATCAATCTCTCATGGATAGATTCACTCTTCTTCCATCTTATATTTTCAGCCAGTATACTCATATACCCCTTAACACTGTCCAAAAGGGGCCAACTGTGGCTTCTTGGGTCAGTGTGTTGAGATGTATTTACTTTGTTGGCCTTGTCAAATATTTAGTTTGACATGCTAAATATCTGCCTGTTATGACTACAAAATGCCTCCTAAATTCTGAGACTGTTTTGAAGACAAATTTATTAGTTCTTCAATCATTCATAATAGCCAGTTGAATAGAAATTAAGTAGCTAAAGACTTAAATGATCTCTCTTGTTGGTCATAGATATATTGCTGTAATGAAACATTCACATTAAAATAACATCAAGATGAAAGAGCAATTTTTAATTATTTTTTCCCTCAAGGCTGCTTCCTGGTGCTGCAAATAAATTAATGTAGCAGCAACTGAGTGTTAAGAATGTATTTTTCTATGACAGGTGTTGTATTTGTGTGATATGTGGAAAAAATCCCTGGCAGCAACAGTTGAGCAGTTACTGGTACATGTGGTTGAATGTTGTATAGGGTTTTCATCTCATAACAGCAAAGGGCAGCTGCTACTTTTGGAGGATTTAGGAAACCTCTTTTAAATAAGAGCGCTGAGTTTTGGATAGAAAGAGACCACCTCACACTGTCAAGGAAGTTATTCTTCACTCTGTAACACTGATAACAGGCTTATCTTTCCAGTGTAACCTTCTTGCCTCTCTTTGCCAGCCTTCTTGCTCTGTACATGAAATAGCTATGTAAAAGTCTGTCTTGAAGGGCTCATGGAATTGTATGGAAACTTTGACATACACTGCAATTAAAAAAAAAAGAAGTAATTACAAATATATGTGGCTGGGACAGGTTAATTATGGTAGTAATGAGACAGTTTTCATTTAACTATTGTTTTTGAGAGGCAGCAGTTAGACTCATGTAGCCATGGGCGTGTGGCCCAATCTAACTCCCACTGAAGCTGAATTAGATCATGTCAGGCTAATTTTGGAAAGTTGTAACCCTGCTCACTCTCAGTTGTCTTGAACTGCTTTTTCTGGAGAACAGCATCCAATATTAATTTATAATTGAAATGCATTTACTTCAGCTGGGTTGCAGCACCTGAGCAGCTACATTTGTAGTCTTTAATTTCTGATCTGCCTAATCTAAAAAAACACTCTGTAAATAAACTTTTTCCTTCATGTGCATTATTCTTTTTGTTTTAAGGTGATTTAGATGTAGAGGAAATGACAAATCTTTGCAAGGTGGCAGATCTCAGGTTTTAAAAGATGGAGGTGGGAGTGATCTACACAAGGAATAAAACTTGTACCCTTGAAATGACTGGGGGTCAGTGAGGCAGCTATTCCTTCAGTGAGGAGGCATTCTATAGTAAGACAGTAATTAAGGGCCTAAATATTTAAAAAAAAAAAAGAAATTTGCTTTGAGACAATTAAGCATTTGATGCAAGAGGATGGTACTGTACCTCTGAGGAAGTTGCTTTAGGGTGCTGTAGAAAATGAAGT